CCTGGATTTTCTGGACTTACAAACCACCAGGCAAGAGATTCAGAGAAGAACAGGACCAAGCCTCTAAGCAATAGGTAATGGCCTGACAGAGAGCTATCTCTCAGGCTCAGGTTATGACAGGGAGAGGGACCAGTGCATTCAGGAGTGTCCTATCAGGTAAGTCACAGCTGTTTGTACTTGGAACTCTCAGAGACCACAACAAAATACACTAATCCTTTTTGGCCTGACTTTGCCATTATGTGGGATCAGGTCTGAGAAATACAAATGCCTCACACTCATCAACTTGACTTCGCAGATGAGTCATTGCTGTAGCCTGTTCCCTGAACATTTCTACAAATAATTCTTTTGAAGTCAAGCTACATAGGACAGGAAAATCACCTTTCCTATGAACTGTGTGTTCATGTATTTATACTTGTCTTTCACTTGATAGAAATATATTCACAATTTGTATTTGTCTCATGAAATTTGCCCACTATGTTTCTTAGACCAGAAATGCCAACAAAAGATATAAATCATAAATATTCTTTAATAAAGTATATATAAGATGCTATACATCTAGATGAAATATATGAAGCTATGTTCCATTACTTACTACACATATTGAATAAAAGATGTGATAGCCAATGGATTATCATTAAAGCTTCAATAATAACAATTATATTTATATTCTCTTTAGTGGTTTAGCTATTAAGTAGATGAAACTTTATATATAATTGTCACCAACTCAAATTTTTGGCACACAACCTTTGTTTTCAAATAGTGAATTATAAGGATTGGAAACTACATTGTGTCAGATATTTGTTTGAGTATTGACATTCACTCCAGTGAATATAGGCATTCCAGATGCCTTAGAGAAGACAAACCATTCTTTTCCTTTGAAATTTAAGTGGAAACTTTAAAAGTCATTTTCAAATAATTATGTACTTCTTTTGTTATTTCTTCTCTTTACACTTAGTTTGGAAACAAAGGGGACTTTGAAAATTTAGGAAAACTGGAAGTTATCTTTCATTTACACACCTATGTTCTTTGGAAGTTTCTGATGCTTGTTAAGTGTGTTTATAGATAAGTTATGTGCATATATAATTTCCTTAAAATGATGCAAGCAATTATGTACATCAAATATGTTCTAACAAAAGTTCTAAGAAAAAAAGGAAAAAATCTCATCATGATAAAATGTATTATAATTTCCCTATAACATAAGAATCATGTAATAAATAAAATTCTAATATTTCAAATTTGTAATATTTAGAAAATTTATTTTATCTTGTTTCTTTTTTATTTAATTTTACGGTCCCGGGGATTGAACTCAGGACCCCTCATTTGCCAGGAAATTGCTTATTCTATCTCCCCGGCCCCTATTTAGAATATTTAGAATCAGAATATTATGAAGCCCTTGCATATTATTATAAGTAAATTTATAAGTTCATATGTATGGATTTGTAATATTTATACAGTAACTTTAAGGTCAGATATAAGATAATATAACACATTTTGTAAAAAACATTGTTGGAGTTAAAGTACGTAATAATGTCCTTTCATATGTTACTGATATTGAAAGCATGATCAGTAAAACCATTAAAGACTAAATTTTAAAGTTGGGTTTGGAATATTATCATTTCCATTTATCTTTGACTTATCAAGATAGTTACTCCATCTTCATCAAGATTTGCAAGAGGAAAATCTCAGTGGTGTCAATATACATGTTGACAAGGTTGAAAGAACCGAAGCTAGAAATGTGCCCAGTCACTAGTGAAAGGCTGTACTTGTGGGTGTGACTATGATGTTAAGTGAGTGCCCCTAAAAATACACCTGAGCCTTCATCTTGAATAAAATCTAATGGGCAAGTTTATTGCATACTTACTCCCATATACAAATATAAATGTAGTTTCTGGTCCATTACACCTAGGAAGGAGCCCAATAGGAACACACGGGGCTGGGGGTGTTGCTGCCATTGGCTGTTGATTATGCTTTGATCTCTTGGAAAATAGTTCAATAGCTGTTTATGCAATTGTTCGCAAAGATCTCAAATTTCTCTGAGAAATATGAAGGATAACCATACACACATCAGGTCCTCTCTGTATTTCCTTGAAGTTTTGTCATCGTAATTGTCTTGTCTTTATTCTTTCTCAAAAAGGTAGAAATTGGTGAGAAAGACTAATATGCACTTTCCTGTCATGATGCACAATTATATCCAGGGCCATAATTCCATAAAAATGATCATAAATTTCTTTAAAAAATACTCATTTCATGGAAGTAAGGCAGCAAAGCAAATGTGTTGGAGACCAGCCGACCAAACTCTGTCCCTAGACCACCAGAAGGACAAACCTCCCTTGTCCCTTCTTAACATTTCAGATTATTCAGGGCCACAAACTCAATGAGAGAGGACTTTTCTCTCTTTGCCATTTCACTTTCTCTGTGCCAAGCATCTACTGTGGCTTCCAATGAATCAAGTTCTCCTTCCTCTCCTCCCCTGGAGGCTGCACTCCCAGCAAATGTCACA